AGCCGGATCGGACGACTATAGCATATAGCTCCCATAGGAACAATCGGAAAAATAAATGAAAAAAAATTATAACTTTGCTGTTTTTTAATTTTTTGTTTAGTTCTTCGACATTTAGTAATGGTTAAACATTTCCGATTTACGGTTTAAATTTCATCAAAATCGGACGACTATAGCATATAGCTCCCATAGGAACAATCGGAAAAATAAATGAAAAATATTATAACTTTGCTGTTTTTCAATTTTTTGTTTAGTTCTTCGACATTTAGTAATAGTTACATATTTCCGATTTACAGTTTAAATTTCATCAAAGTCGGACGACTATATAATATAGCTCCCATAGGAACAATCGGAAAAATAAATGAAAAAAAATTTTAACTTTTCTGTTTTTTATTTTTTTTGTTTAGTTCTTCGACATTTAGTAATGGTTAAATATTTCCGATTTACGGTTTAAATTTCATCAAAGTCGGACGACTATATCATATAGCTCTCATAGGAACAATCGGAAAAATAAATGAAAAAAATTATAACTTTTCTGTTTTTTAATTTTTTGTGTAGTTCTTCGACATATAGCAATGGTTAAATATTTCAGAATTATGGTTTAAATTTTATCAAAATCGGACGTCTATATCATATAGCTCCCTCAGAAATAATAAAAATATATAAAATAACTATCAAACAATTGAGCTGCAAATCATCATAGCTTCAATGTTTTTAAACATATACGAAAGTAAATCATAATTTTAATGTTTTCAAAAATGTTTAATTCTTGCAATAGCTGCAAGGGTATATGAACTTCGGCTTGCCGAAGTTTGCTTTCTTTCTTGTTTTTTTTTAATTTTTCCTTCACATTTTCCCATTAAAAACCAACTTTCCTGAAGCTAAACAATATAACAAATACTATTTCTTTAATTGTGCATTTTAATTTCAATTCCCCAGCCATAATCACATATTCTAATTATCCGCAACCACTCTGTACTGTGCTACAAATTATCGCACGGTGGTTCAATGTCTCACAATAAAATTTGCTTTCCGATAAAGAAAATAAATTTCCAATAATTACCGATTAATTCCAAACGGTCATCAAATTCGTTTCCCATAAATAAATACATAATTTTTTGAGTCCATATTACAATATTTGTGTATCGAATTTTTTTGATAAACAAAATCCGTAAATTTAATTTAGTTCGTAAAATTTAAATTCATCCACAGATTTAAGTGTAAACGTAAATCCTTACGAATTTCGATTTCCTAAATTAATATATATATATATATATGTCGGATGTTTAGTTTTGTTTTCGTGGTTTTACGTTATTAACATAAGAATTAATAGGAAAAGCTGATTTACTGAGAGTTACATGTTTACTTAGAATTAAAGCTAATGTTATGATTGCCACTCGTTGCTTTTTATTCCTCCCTCCACATTCCTTTCTTTATATGGGTTTCTGTGTAGAAGTGTTGCGTTAAGCCTAACGGAGGTCTGCGATGTGCAAATGAGACGGCCATATTTGGCAAAGTATGTAATCAAGAGGATGTTAGCCAATTTTGGCTGTATATATCAATCAGAACAGTCTCGATCGAGGTGCTGTCACGAAATGTCACAGCCGAGAAAGCATCCGATTTTTAAATTCAATTCAGCACAAAAAGACAAAAAAAAAGTTTTAAAAAAACAATTTTCACCGCGGGGATAATTCCAATTCTAGTGAAAACCATACGTCTACGCCAAGGAGACGTATTTTAATTTCTGGCGGTGTAGAGCGGAAGTTCCCCCAGATGTCTCTATACACTGTCCCTTCGCTCTCCCGCTCCAACTCTCCCCCCAAGTCTCCGCTTTGCTGTGGAGCGCTTTAGTTTATTTAACTTAAGTAAGTTCCTATTTTAAAGTGTAATAATAAACGTCGCGCAACACACTTCCAAATTTCTCGAGTTCTTATTGTTTTCGCTTCCCACGTGGGAAACCAGCGTAAAGAAGTCACCATCACACTAAAAATTGTCAATTGTTCTTTATGTTCATAATTAGTGTAAAGGACAAGGGACGAGGAAGAAGCATCCAATTGTGAGGCACCTTTTGTCGAAATTAGCTCACCGTAATTGGGCGGTGTGGTTAGTAAGCTGTATGGGAAAATCATTGGATATATCTTGTCCGTCTACCTTCGCTGTCCTCAATCTCCCGAAGTAGCTTTCTCGAGAGTTTGATCGAAATACGATCTTCAGCGCGTAGCGGTTACTGATCACCCTGTTGTCAATGTTCGTCAAATCATTGTTAGCATTCCTCACCAACTTCACTTGTTACACCAGCACCAAGTTTTTTTTATTGATATCCCACCATAATCTCATCCTGGCTTTGACACCGTTTGAGGCGACACACTTTGCTTCGACCATGATCTTTTACGCTTGATGTGCTCATGTGTGATTCATTTTCAATCGCCAGTGACCAGAAAAGTCTAGTTTATTACAGTTCAGTAAAGATTCGCAGATTGAGACGAGGTCCAAAAGGTTATGTTGAGATAACTAATGTGGCACGTATACATAGAGTTTTTTTGTCATCTTTTTCATCTCCTAATGCATTTAGACGGTTTCTCTGCTTAGTTTGAGCTCCTCTGGCCAGGAAGACTTATTCTCAAATCGAGAATACTTAAACTGAAAAAACTTCTTGATTTTGGTAATTTCGCTCTCGATCTACTACTGAGCACGGAAATTCTGAAATCAAGACTGTTTAGAACGGTTTTTTTTTTCTCAGTGTACAGTTGAGCACGGAAAAACTGAAATCGAGTCTGTATATAACCTTTTTTTTTCCAAGTACCGCATTTCAGTAACTTTTTGAATTGCTCATTCTTTTTATTTTGAATACATTTTACATTCGATAGTAAACTAAAATTGTTATTAGGTTTTTTTTTTATAACTAACAAGTAGCTCTTACGACATTAAGCGAAGCTTGTGCCCTCTTCCCATCGGGGCGTAAAAACAAGATCGCGAGAGTTGAAAGAAAAGGGCCAGTAAAAGAACGGAGAGACTAATTAAAAATATATACCAAACTAGAAATGCAACTAATTATACAAGATACGTGTTATGTAAGATAAGAATAATGTTTTTTAAATTTGTAAAGTGCCAGTAGTAGAAATAATCTCAGTTATTATAGTCATTACATAACACTCTAAGTGGTTCATACATATCATATTTTGATCTTCAATGTTTCAAAATAAGAGGAATATAGTTCCTATTGATACAATTAGGCTCTGAGAAATATAGGTGGCCCAGTTGTACATTACTTTCCACATCCCACTGAATAAGTTTACGCATAAAAAAAATAAAAAGCATCGTTCTACGATTAGCTAAAGATGGTAAATTTATTAGAAGAAGTCTACTAGAGTAAGATGGTCAGATTAAAATTGCATCCCAGTTAACGCCCCGTAGAGCAAATAGTAAAAAATTATTTTGCACAGACTCTCCGGTCTATATGTACTCTATATTGGGGACTTTAAACTGGAGAGCAATACTCCAGAATTGGACGAACTAAAGTAATAAACGAAGTCTTTGTGAAATATATATCATCAAATTGCTTAGACCACCTTTTTATAAATCCATGCACTCCTCTGGCTTTATTTACCATGGATGTAATATGTTCAGAAAACTTAAGTTTTGGGTCCAAATAGACGAAAAGGTCATCAATTCAAATTTTAATCAACTTACAACCACCCAAAGTATACGTGTCACACTGGATTGGCCCGATAGAATGAAATTATTCAGCATTTAGCGCCTTTTAAGTTTAAAAGATTTTCACAACACCATGTTTGAATGGCGCCAAGATCCGTTGACAAGTCTGAACTGCGGAAAATATCGCAATATTGCAGGCATTACTTAACGTCATCTTCGTACATAAGGACGCGCGACTTTCTCAAGACTAAAGGTAAATCGTTAATAAATAATGTTAAAGAAGTGGGCCAAGGTTTCCCTGTGGAACTCCTGAAGTAACTTGGATCAGCTTAGAGACCGAGCTTTTAAAAAGGACTTGTTGTGTCCTACCACTCCACTCGAAATCCTTCTAAGAAAATCGTTTGAAAACCCTAATAAATCTAACTTCCGTACAAGAAGCGAATGATTTACGGAGTCAAATGCCTTGCTAAAATCCTTGTTATTCCTAAAGCCATTTATAACAAACGGTGTTAGCTCCAAAAGGTGGTATATCAGCGTGTTTTAAATCCACTCTGACATATAATCGATCTACAAAGATGTTGCAAATGGGGGGTAATAACGTTTTCGAAAAGTTGGGGATAGCAGACAACTTGGAGATACCTCTATAATTGCTAGTATTTGATTTATTTCCCTTTTTGTGAAGGGGAATAAGAAATGATTCCAAATAGGTGGAATTTCAGTAGTTTCTAAGGTTAGGGTAATCTATTTGTGAAGTGGTCTGGACAGGGTCTTTTCGCAGTATCCAAGCACACAGCTAGGAACCCCGCAGGACCCGGTGAGTAGACTGGTTTTACACTTTGCGGATCTTGAAGTAGGGAGCTTTCACTCACACTCGGACAAAAGATTAAGTAAGACTTCGACATTCCTTCTGAATAAGACTGATTAGGACAGGAGGTAGATGAACTAGTCGTTTGGATTAACTGCGCAAGAAGTTCGGCAATTGTCTCATCACTGTTTGCCGTTTGCAAATGATAGCGATGCTGGGTATGAGGCGGATTTACGCTTAGTTAACAACATAATAAAACTGTTTTGGATCTTTTGAAAACTGGACCCCACAACGAGTTAAACAAGCTCTATAACACTACGCGCTAAGCACGCCCAGCACTTATGTATTTGAAACATAATTTTTTTTGTTTCTGTGATTCTTATTCATTTACGACCTTATTAATTTACGTTCCCCAATCTTCTCAGTGTAAAATTTTCAATTTTAGCGCGGTAAATGATAGAAAACTTAATATTATATAAAAATTATACTACAAAAATTTGTGTTTAATCACCAACATTTCTAATATAATGTATAATTCATTTAGATTGGACGCCTATATCCTCAAGCCGTTTATTTTCCCATTCGGACTTTATATTTGACTTTAAAAATAGAGCAACGAGAGAAGCACAAAACTGCGGAACAAGCTGGGAAAATTTCTTGCTCGGTGAGTAAAAGGTTTTTTATATGCCTATATCTGCCACATTTTTTGGAACTTTTCCACCGAAGATTAAACCCTAAATTAAATCTCGATCCCCTAGAAATCTTTTTTAGTCGCATTTAAAACACTTCGTACATTGCAAGATGGTAATATAAAATAAACTCTTTAATAAAAAAAATGTTTAAAATTTTATTTTCTGAATAAAATAAAAATGACAGCGATTTTGATTCAATTATAAATTACCAAATTGTTGAACATTGCATGTGACGCATAACATTAAATAACTTAGATAATATTTCACTCACAATGGTGTTTGGTATCTCAAACGATAGCACAAAGGCGCACAAGCATGCAAAAAATGTACACACAAACATTATTTTGTAATTTTACAAAACTGCTAGCCATTTAAAATGCCTTGGGAAAATAGGTACTTATGTCTACCTCAAAATCCATAACATATTCTTAAAAATAATATATTTAGATTAATAAAAATTTTTGCGTTTTATTGAAAACATTTTCATAGGTTTTGCCTCCCATTTATATGCTCTTGCAGAGATTATTATAATTTCTGTGAGCAGTTTGCAACGCCGTGAAGGATACTTTTCAGACCCTATGAAGTATATATATTCCTGATCAGCATCACTAGGGGAGTCCATCTTGCTGTGTCCGTCCGTTTCTTCGCAAGCTATATGGATGAAACTTTCCGAAAAGTTGTGTATATGATGTATTCTATGAAAAGCTTGTAACAGATAGAAGGAAGCGTTGACCTTATAAAGTATATATTATGTTGTCAAAAAAGTCTTGCGGTACCAACCAACTAGCTAAGGTGCTGAAAGCGCGTAGTTCTTGTTTTATTCGTAGCATCAGGTCATTTCACGCGCTAACACGTGTTTGATTGAGTCTTTTAAGTCGTTCGTGAGTTATAGTGTCGCAATCATGGAGCAAAATAAAGAGAAAATACGGCATATTCTACAGTACTTCTACTATAAAGGCAAAATGCATCTCAAGCCGCCAATAAAACCATTTGAAGAAGCTTGGAGTCACTAAGAACCTCGATGTATGGGTGCCACACACACGTATCGACGCATGCGAATCGCTTCTAAATCGCAACAAAATCGACCCGTTTTTGAAGCGTATGGTGACTGGCGATGAAAAGTGGGTCACTTACGTTAACGTAAGGCGCAAACGGTCGTGGTCGAAAAGCAATGAAGAGGCCCAGACGGTGGCCATGCCTGGATTGACGGCCAGGGAGGTTCTTCTGTGTGTTTGGTGGGATTGGTAGGGAATAATCCACTATGAGCTGCTCCCCTATGGCCAAACGCTCAATTCGCACCTGTACTGCCAACAACTGGACCGCTTGAAGGCAGCACTCATGCAGAAGAGGCCCTCTTTGATCAACAGAGGTCTTCCATCAGGACAACGCCAGGCCACACACGCGCCAGCAGCTCCGGGAGCTCGGATGAGAGGTTCTTTTGCATCCGCCGTATAGTCCGGATCTCGCACCAAGTGATTACCTGTTTCCGTCCATGGCGAACGCGCTTGGTAGTCTGAAGTTGGCCACAATAGAGTCCTGTGAAAATTGGCTCTCCGATTTTTTGCCAGTAGGGAAGCGAGCTTCTATGAGAGAGGCATTACGCGTCATCGAACAAAACGGCGCATATTTGACTCTAATCGCATTATTGTAACCAATTTTATGAACAATTGAAAATTCAATAAAAACACCGCAAGACTTTTTTGACAACCTAATATTCTTGATCAGGATCAATACAGTCAATCTAACCATATCCGTCTGACTGTCTGACTGTGTACGTTGAGATCTCGGGATTATCATGCAGCTCATTTCAAACTGAGCTAATTCATGAGCAAGTTGAGTAACAGGTTGGTCTATGGTGTGGTCTATGACTTGCACTTTATTGATAACACTGACAAAGGGTATTTTGATTTCTTTCAGAAGTGTCGGTGAAGGACACATTTCCGTCTGTCCGTCCGTTTCTACGCAAACTAATTGTCTTTCTATTGCAGGTATATAAGTCGGAACGAGCCGGATCGGAGGACTATATTATATAGCTCGCATAGGAACATCCGGGTGAAAAAAATGAAATAAAATATAACTATGCTGGTTTTTAATTTTTTATAGTTCTTCAATATTTAGTGATGATTTATTATTTTAGAATTACGGTTTAAATTTGATGAAAATTGGACGACTGTATCATTTAGCTCCCATAGGAACAATCGGAATATTACAAAAAATATTAAAACAATTGTAAATTCTCATATTTTCAATATTGTTTGTAATTCTTTTGGACATATGAATGATTAAGTAATTCAGAATTATTCTTTTATTTTTATTAAAATCGGAACACGATATCATATAGCTGTCATAGGAGCGAGCGAATAAGTTAAATGAAAATCATCATAGCTTCAATGGGTTCTCATATATTTCGAAATTTATATTTTTTAAAGATTGTTTGAGCTCAATCTCAAAGCAACAATTCCCAAGAAATGGTCGTGGAATATAATGCCCGCTATTGTAAAAGATAAAAAAAACACGACTGTTGATATTACTGTCTAGGCTTGATGCGTTCTGATCATCGACTGACCGCCCTACAAATTTTCGTTTTTTTCTACCCGTTTGCCAACGTTAACTTTCTGTAGCCGATTGCCTTACATGATTTTGGATTTAAAAAAGTATAAGTGAAAGTCTTAGAAACTGATGTTAAAAAAAAAAAACGCGCTGCCACCGGTCGAGTTAACGTATATTTGCATGATCACCTACCAATGAAGTTCCAGTGATCTTGGACAACGTCATCTGAAATAGGTGCGATTGGCCTTGAATTTAATATCGCCTCCAATTCAGTGAATACAGTGGTTTGCTCAGCCATATTGTTTACTAATAATGATTTGGCTTATTGGGTATAAAACAAAATTGAAATCCCTTTGCTGCACTAAGCACGAACAATTTTGCAGTGAGTCTTGATTCAGTTATTTCCTTTTGAATTTCTCGAGTTTCGCTACGCCTCCCGTAATGTTTGTAGCGTTGTCGCAGTAAATGCGTCGAGCTACGAATCTTTGAATGCATGCTAGAATTGTATTAGTAGACAAATCAGATACTACTTCTATGTGCATTGCTTCCGATGCGAAACACACAAAGACAGCAGCATCAATTTTGTATGGCGATTTTCTTCGTAATCTGTACTACGCCAATAAAATCGACACACGTATCCAGAAGTGGGCGATGGCCACGAAGGCGAAGCAGGAATATTTCTCATAACTTGCTGCAGTAGCCTTGCTTTGTAAGGAAAACAGTGAGTGCATTCGTAAACGACCTTCTTTGCTAACTATTTTGCATAATCGATCCAAAACTTTGTCGTACTAAGGATACTTAAACCTTAGGTCCTGCGTGAAGACTGAAAATTACTTTTTCAAACTTCATTTGCGTAATAAAGCGAATTCATCGCTGTACGCCTATTGTTGAATATGAGCAACTACTCCAAAACGATTCGAGTTAGACGAATACCGATATATGAACCACTTAATCTACCTTCAACTTGAGACTGGATACTAAGCCATTGTACACTCGATACACGTAGGAAATGATGCGAAGCGAGCGAATGTATCATGAAGATGTTCCTCGTTGTTGCATATAACCATTGCGTTCTTTGTTACTTCTATCGGTGAGGGCAGTGAACGCTTAAGTACCGCAACAAAGCAATTCAGCTGCGTTGCGTGCAACCCCATCCAATGCGAAGTAAATTCCATCAATAAATTGTGTTAATTTATGCTGAAATTTTCGAAATGTTCTATTTAACAAGACCGCTGCACATAATTCTAAGATGCTCTAGCCCTTGCGATCAACATGTTGACCAACATCTCTCCTTCATCTTGCATACGGATATAGTTGCAACAGCCATATGCTCTTTCGGACGCATCTGCGAAGCCGTGAATTTGACCCTTGTATCGGGGAGAGGTGCATACAAACATTGGTATTGACAGATTTTTCAAGTCGTTTAGATATATAAAAAGCTCTTTCAAGAGTTACTGTAAGTCGTCGGTAATAGGTTAATCCCAAGCAAGCCGTTTCAGCACAAGAAACATTTCACATCGAATTACAATTGGTCTGATCAGTCAGGGAATCAAACACCGTTGCTATCGTAGAAAGTATTGATCGTCTTGTTGCTCTTAAATCAGGTAAAAACTCAAACCGAAAAATGATATTGTTGGGTCTAGGTTGCTTAGCGTTGCAGTGAGTTCTTCAAATAATTTCAACGAGTTGCTACATTTTTTCATTGTAAGATCGGCACTCTCCAGTAAGGCAGTGATCTGCGTCTTCTTGGTTTGTAGTTCCTCGATCTGTCGTCTCCGGCTAGCCAGTCATCAACGTACAGATCAGACCGTGTTGTGGCTGTACCGATTGGAAACTGTGATTGAAATAGATCATATTTGTATAACGTTGGCTGCAAATAGCCAAAAACGAAGCAGTAGATAAGCCATATGTAACCGTAGTAGCCATAAAAGTATTAGTTGAAACCTTCTGTCCCTTTCAACTACAATAAATTGTCTATACATTTTTGTGATGTCTCCTGATAATGCCTTGTTGTTTAGCCGGAAAGACAAAACTGTTGTGACTACATTTTGTTGGATAGTTGGTCCCACGAGAAGTATATCGTTTAACAATGTGCCTGAAGTTGTTTTTGCTAATGCGTCAAAAACGACACGCAGTTTAGTTGTGAGGCCCTGTGGCTCCATAACACAGTGATGTGGGATATAATAATGTGGCATGCTTCTATCTACTTTGCGAAATGGCGACATGTGGCCTTGCGAAATATACTCATTTACAAAATCTACGGATGCCTTTTTTTAATATATCGTCTCGATCAAAGCGTTTCTTAAGAGTGGAAAATCGGGTTTGAGCGATTACGAACGATATTCCACGACTAGCGGTGGATTCTTTGAATGAAAGTCGCACCTCTATACGACTTTTACTATACAGTTTTAACAAAACGCTC